TTATGGAAGAGCTGGGCCTAATCCTCTTTCACTGGCACTACACTGGAAGATGACATCTTCATTGCAATTAGTACTTGAGTATACACCGAATGCAAATATGGCGGATCTCTCGTTCGGCCTGGGCCTAGTTGCCCGAAAGCGAGGCTAGTGAGGCCTCGGTAGTTTTGTTTTGACTGCGCGTCTTAGCGATTCAGTCGATCAATATGGTTTCCTTCGAGTTGTTAAGTGCTTAAGAGCCGTCAAAGAGGAGATTTAACTCCAGCAGAGACGAAAGTTGATTATCTTCGCTTTGCCAAGGTTCTTTTCGAAGAAAGAAACGGATTCAAGCGATTCGGCGCGGCGAATGGAGGCACTTTACTATCACGGAGTTAAAAGAACGAAAGTGTGCTCGCTTCACTTAAGAGAAGACTCACGAAACTACTAGAATGGGTGAATAACTGAAAGATTCATGGTTCTGTTTCAAGTTTGCTTTGTCCGTTCTCTTACCAAGGAAAGGTAAAATATCCTCGAGAACGAGTGAATCCGCCGTCGCGACTTACCTAACTTTAGGCGCTCTCAGGGACACAACGACAGACAACAAGGCCGAATGTTTTCACAGTCTTCACGATCCTGTGCTCAAGAGTTTGAGCAGTGCCATTAAAGGAGCAATTTTTGGAAAATCGCTGTTAGTTTACCTCGAAACCATTCGACAAGTTGCTAAGATAGATCACGCGCAGGGTCAAATACAATGCTCGAATACTTGCACGCTCTTTCTCTACCAGAACCTTTTTCCTTCTTCATACTTTCTTAGTTGGCAACGGTTCCTTAGTTAGTTTTTTCAGTGCACCTTGGTCAAGGACTAATCTTGAAATATGTCGCTTTCTTCTGGTTCTTACATAGTTTCACAGGCCACGCTTGTAGGATTAACAGGCGATTGTTATTGTTGTTGTTATATTTTAATGCAGCTGTTTTCAGCGTGAAATCTAAAAGATCTTACAGTCCACAGCAGATGCTCCCGTTTTCGAGAATGTTTACCTTTTGTTGAATAAATAACAGACCATGCAAACATCTTGGAACAGCACCATCTCTTGTGAAAATTATTTCTTCAAATACTTTCGTGAGTCCTCTCATCTAAACAGGATCTAAAGCAAGTGAAGCGAGCACACTTTCGCTGTAAAGTGCTTCCCATCGCCGCGTCGAATCGCATGAATTTTTAACTTTCTTTGTGAAAAGATCTCGGGAAAGTAAGGGCTATTCCACCTAGAGAAAAATCTTCTTTTTGGTGGCCCTCAGGCATGCAACAACTCAAAGCAAACGAGCTCACTAGCCTCGCTTTCGCGCAACTAGACCCGGGCCGGCCGAGAGGTCCGCCATATTTGCATTCGGTGTATGCATGTGCGGAATAATCTATGAGAGAAAGATTATAACCATATGTCGGAGTTTATTCATATCCGAGCTTTGTTTCTTGATGCAATATATATGAGGTGAGATCTTAGCTTGGATAATTTATTTATTATGTAATTTCAAGGGCTTATTTTAGATAAACCTCTGTTGACCGCGTGCATCCGGTTCTCGGCCCGCGGCTTCGGCTGTTTGTGAAAAAATTCCTATATGAAATTAAAATGCGATTTTAAGAAGTTTCTTTTAAAAAACTTATGGAAAGTCCCGTAACTGCATTAATTGAATCACGGCTAAAATCTACGCGGAGATTTTCGCAGAGAGCTTGCAGGTAATGAACAGTGAGGAACGGATAGATCTTTTATCGAACACTGTCACAGTTACGTGTTGTCAGTCAAAGCTAAAACCTGTTCCTAATTTTCTTCTCTTTTTTTTATTTAATTTAGATTTAATTTTTCGCTCAACTTCGAACTTTGTTGGGAGGAGAATCCGGTCCACAATATGTGACAGCTTGTTTTGAGTCATTTATGAGTTCGTGACACGATGAAGGCTTAAAAATTAACTTTGTGCAATTGTTACTTTTATTTATAGTCTGAGTATAAGTCTCCCAAAAGACATTACAGTATTGCACCCTAGTAATAATAAGTTATAAGTACACTACTTTAAAGTATTTACAATAAGGTAAGCATTTGATGACTTTAAGCAGACTTCAAATAGTTTATGGATAATTTGTTTTTATAGTCAGGGTGCTGTGTGCCCAAAATACAATTCAAATAGACCTCAAAACAGTGTTTAAGTACCCTATTTAAAAGTATTTAAAATGCGGTCAGTTCTTAAGGTTTTAAAACATATTTCAAATAGTCTATTTGAACTCTGTTTGTAACTTTGTCAGTGGATGCGTCTCAAAATACATTTTAGATACAACTCAAAACAGTGTTAAAGTACCCTATTTAAAAGGATTTAAAATACGGTCAGCATTTAGGCTCTTAAAACATATTTCAAATAGTCTATTTGAACTATGTTTGTAACTTTGTGAGTGGATGCGTCTCAAAATACATTTTAGATACAACTCAAAACAGAGTTAAAGTACCCTATTTAAAAGTATCTTAATTACAGTCAGCATAAAAGCCCTTAAAACATATTTCAAATAGTCTATTTGAACTCTGTTTGTAACAGTGTTAGTGGTTCTATGCCCAAAATACATTTTAAATACTCTATTTTAATCATATTTATTAAACAAAATACATTGTAAATTGATGAGAGAGGTTTTCCTTTACATGAAATACAATTTAACTACACCCAAGATATATTTCAAACAGGGGCGAAAATTTAATTTTTTTTGTCAAATAGTATTAAAATACAGAAAAATAGTGTTCAAATACTGAAAATACATTTTAAATACTTTAAAATCAGTTTCAAAATACTTATGGTTTGGTAAGGGATTAATGCCCGACTTTTAGTTATGCTATTAAAACGGAAAGACAGGCCAAAATCGTGGTCTTCGGATGCTTTTTCACCTGAAGAAAAGAAAAAGCAAGAAAAGAATCAAAGTGCGAGAGAAAGTGAGAGTGAAGACGAAATTTTGAAAGCGCTCTAAATGGCCGACGATCTAGGATACTACCGCGACCAAGATATCAGGATGTGGACAATCTTCAGATTAAGATGCAACTTCTTTACCAAGAGCATTATATAATAGTAGAAGGGGAAATTTTAATGTTTATTGTAATTGAAGAAAAAGATGATACACAAGGTGAGAATGGCGCAATTAGTAACCGATAGTAATCAGAACACAGGGAACGTGAAAGAGATCATTTACAATTTTATGGAACAAGAGCTACAAATCCAAAACGCTCGAGGCTGAATAGAATTCCAGTGCGTCCATGCACCGGGCAGGGAAAGCGAAAGGTAAGAAATCCCGCCTTATCATCACTCCGGCCGCGAAAAGGTCTTATTTAAGGCGAGAAAGTCAGTTGTCGAAAGACAGGACTTATAGTGTCTTCAAAGACATGCCCAAAGAACTTTATGAATTAAGAAAAGCCAACTTAAAAAACTGCAGAATGCAAGAGAGCGGTGACACAGCGTATTTCAGTAGTAAATATCCTTATACTCTTTTCATAAACGGTAAATATATTCCCTTAAATTAACTTTCTCTTTCTCCAACATATACGTATATGCTAATTTTACTGGATAGGCACTGCTATTATTTGGCTCTATTTCTTTCTTTCTTTCTTTTACACAACCCTAAATCTGCAAGTAAGAAAACAAAGCTAAAGCCAAAACATTTGTATTCAGTAGTCAGATAAACGGCGGTTGCCCTAGTAGCAGATGATCCAAAACGGGAAAAGAGTCAGCCGTTCTTAATTACACATTCCTGGAGCAAGATTATGTCTTTGTATTTGTATTTTGTACTTGTATCATGATTGCTTATGTTTGTTTATCTCTCGTGTCAATGTTTATTTGTAGTTAATATACCATTATGCTTTATAACTGAGTTCACGTCCTTTCGCAATTAATAGTGTTAGTCCGTAGTTCGTTCTGTACACTATGCGCAGCATACAGCTGAACATATTTAGGGTTAAAACTTCGCTGTAACCGTTAATTTGAAATGAGTCAGTCTTTGAATAACGTAAGGGGTATTTAAGTAACTTTAATAAACGACGAACAATTTATACATGGTGCTGTAAACAGAATTGTGGAGGAGGAAGAAAAATAAAAATAAAAAAAAAAGGGAGAGGGATTAGTAAAACATTGTGCGTAGTGAGTAGTGCCTTCTTTGATTTTCTTTAAAAATAGATTCCTTTTAAACCACTGAGTATTTTACTCTTTTTGCAATTATTAAAGAATCATAAAGTTGATATTTTGTGTCTTAAGAAACGTGTCTGGTCTTATTGCGTGCATTTATAAGTCGCGTGTTTGAATTGATCCTTGTTACGTTTTTTATTGTTCTGTGTTTTTATAATAATACGTCAACGTTCTCCCTTGGGGTTTTTAGTGCGTAGCTGACGCAAGATTAACTGACTAATGGCGCGTGAAAATGACAAGATCACAGATCATAAGTTCACCAAGCGCTGAGACTTCAATAGTTAGTCGTTCACTCGAGATAGAACGGAGGAAACGGTTTTGTAATAGTCAGTCAAAATTGAAATAGAGAGTTTTCAGCTCCACTTTCTGCGTGTGTGTGTGTGTGTTTTTTTTGTTTATATCTGGTTTTTAGCGCTAGCATTGCTAGGTGATCGTTCCTCTTATTCCTATTTTTTAACTAGACGTTCCGCGGCAAACCGGACTAAAGTTACTTACCGCAAGCCTTTTGTTCCTATTGTATAAGAGAGACGCTCATTAGATATGGAGGAAGGCACTAATTAGTATAGGCACTTATAATTATGGATAAAGGCAGTGTCAGCAGTGACTAGACACTTGCTAGGCAATGACTATGCACTTGAGTTAGAATTAAGTTTCACAACCGTCGCATCGACCGCAACGAGGCACAATTGCGAAAAGCCAAATCTTGTATTAAGAATACATCAGTTAAAGCAGGCAAAAGTCAATCTGACTCATGTAACATTCCAGAAAGTTTAAAAGCTATAACAGCTAACTTAGAGAAACGCCTTGAAGAAGTAAATGCAATGTTGTACGACCTTAAAGAGGCAAACAATAAAACTGTTGAAACTTACACTCGTGTGGTCTCTGAGTCAGGGTCTAGTAATAAGAAGGACTACGGGATTAGAAAGCGCAAATTTAAGAACAAAAAACACACAGAAAGACGAAAGAAAACCCGCAAAGATATTAGAGCTATGAAAACAGAATCCAATAGAAAATACATAAAGAACCTCTCCAATCTTGAACTTACAAATGATCAGATAAATCTGCTCTCTCGTGGATTAAAATTTGTCCCTACGCCTACAACAAACGAAACCGCATTAAGAAAACAACTCCTTACAGACTTCAAAGATTTTGCTAGGAGAATGCGGCTCCAGTTTATATATCACGGCAAGGACAAAAACATCCACCCCTTCTACGTTAAGTCAAACTGGGAACCACCAGTTCAGCAGTCTGTCACCCTAGAGAGCTATCTAGAAGAAATTAAAATACAACTTGCGCACACACCGATAACCAAAGCTATACCCAACCTACCGCTAAATGAGAGAAAAGCTATCACAGAGCTGAAAAACAACTCTGAAATAAACGTCAAGAAAGCGGATAAAGGTACTACCACAGTCATAATGAACAAACTAGATAAAACACAAGAGGGGCAGACCCTACTAGACGATGGAAACAACTACACACCCCTCGAAGACCCCATGGCAAGGGCAACTTTCCAAAAAGTGAAACAAATAGTCGAAGAACTACATCAGGGAAGTTTTATTGACGAAATGACTGTTAAATGGTTATCACAGACACCAAATCCACCCAGAATACCTGTCTTCTACACTCTCACAAAAATTCATAAGCCAACTCCTGTTGGCCGACCTATAGTGGCAGGAAACGACGGACCCACCGAACGAATATCATCATTTGTTGATAGCCTACTTCAGCCTATAGCTAAGTCACAAAAGTCCTATCTTAAGGACACAACTGACTTTGTTAACTTCATAGAAAGGAGAAACCTCCCAGAGGACGTTTTCCTAGTCTCCTTAGACGTTGCTAGCCTGTACACAAATATCCCACAGGAAGAGGGAATAAACACAGTATGCAAAGCATACCAGACTTTCTACGGGGAAAACACCCCTATCCCCACCCAATCCCTCAGAAAAATCCTTGAACTTATTCTTCAAGAGAACTCATTTGAATTCAACGGCAAAAACTATCTCCAAACACACGGAACCGCAATGGGTACAAAGATGGCAGTCGCCTTTGCCAACATTTTTATGTCGGCGGTAGAGACAGAAATACTGAACCTCAGCAAAACTAAACCTCTTGAGTGGAAAAGATACATTGACGATATTTTCTCATTGTGGAGAACTGATAGAAAGGAGATAGATGAATTCATTGCTCTTGCAAACAGGCATCACCCTTCAATTAAATTTACGGCTGAATTATCTGATAAAGAGATTAACTTTCTGGATACAACTGTTTACAAAGGCGAGAGATTTCACAACCAAGGAATCCTTGACATCCGCACACATTTTAAACCTACAGAGACTTTTCAATACACGCATTTCTCTTCCTGTAACCCTCACGGGGTCAGAAAAGGTCTCATAAAGGGCGAAGCCCTTAGACTTCTGAGAACTAACTCCTCAGCTAAATCCTTCTATGAGAACATCTACAACTTCAAAAAACGCCTTCGCGCTAGAGGTTACCCTCACAATCTCATAGAAAAAATCACCTCTGAGGTTAAATTTACCGAACGGAAGTCAGCTTTACAAAAGAACAATGAAGTGCGAAAAAAAATTCTGCCTTTCGTTACCACATACCACCCTGCTTTGCCGAACCTTAAAAACATTTTAATGAGCAAATGGCACTTAATTCAAGATCAACCACTATTGAGAGAAATATACAACGAGCCTCCCATCATTTCATATAAAAGAGCAAAATCGCTGGGAGATATCCTCGTTAGAGCTAAACTATAAGGTCACGTATCACACTATCACGAGCTTATGAGTCGTGTTTGGCCTGTCAACGCCTTTCACCTAATGATTTTAAATTCATAACGAAGGGTGTACCTCTTTTATTTTGACCCTGATAACGCGCCTAAGTTAGTACTAAGAAGCATTGAGAACGGATGTTTTATGAGTCAAATGAGTCAATGAGTCATGAGTCATGAGTCATGAGTCAATGGGTCAATGAGTCAGATCTGAAAAAATAAAAGTTTCGGTAGAACCTAGCCTGTTCCAGGCGTTCAGATAGTGGGGAGCGGTGCGAAGTAAAAAGGAGCGCCAATAAAGGCATTACTTTTACTTAATTTGTCTACTTGCTTCATTGCTGCCTGCACATGCAAGGCCTATTTCTGACATGAAATCTCAACTTGGGCTGTTTTTTAGCAGTATTCCAGGCCCTGCCGCTACTACTACGTGCATGCCCCGAAAAATAGCCTTCCCAGACACCCTTCAAGAACCATTTAAACCATCAGACAATCCATACTACTAGAGTTTCCATACCAGAAGTGAAGTGCTGCGCCAAGGTTGTTCATATTAGTTGATGCACGGGTTTTAAAGAGGCGAACTAATGTAAATAAACACAAACATAATGCAAACAATGAATGCCCAAAGATTTTAATCAATCAACGAGCCTTGAAAGTTATTTAACTTTACAATGGGTATACAGTAATACCTCAACAATAATTATTCGTACACTGTATGCTTCTAATATAAACACTGACTGTGTGCAACTGTTCGACTCGCTGTTTCATACCCCTCCTCGGGCAAATTACAATAATTCTAATTCAGTTTGTTCGCCTTGTAGCATCATTCACCTTTTGAGGCAAGTAAAACTGATTGGAAAAGTGGGGAACTACATTGGGAAGATTATCAACTGAAAACAACTCTGCTATTGATTGTTGGAACAGACGCTTAGTGTTCTGGATCGTCTTCATTGTGTTCATGATCGACAGCGATCCACAGCATGAAAGAAAATTGTATTCCCCTTGATAAGATTCCTCGCTAAAACCTAATGAATACTTCCCGGAATACTTACCTTTACACCAGCATGACAAGCTAATGAGTAACATACCGATACAGATATAAAACGTACTCATGACCGATTTTCTACTTCAAACCGGGCCCGAACATCAACACACCGAATAAAAACGAGCTCCCCTAAAAACGCCTGTGTGGGAGGCTAATCAAAGAATCGAAAAGAACGACTGCTCCCAGATTTGAGTCTTTGAGCGCTAGGAAATTCCATAATAGGTTTATCTCAATTTACTTTAAGCGCTGTGTTCAAAGGGAATTAAACACTTTCTTCCGAGGCACTCACAAAATTTTTAGGCTGGCTTATTTTTCGCTTCTGCTATGCGACAGGGCCTGGGAACTGCTAACAAACAGCCTAGGGCGAGATTTCATGTCAGAAATAGGCCTTGTGTAGGCAGCAATGAAGGTAGTAGGCAAAATAAGCAAAAGTAATGCTTAATGTAATTGTTTCTACCGAAACTTTTATTTTTTCAGATCTGACTCATTGACTCATTGACTCATGACTCATGACTCGTTAACTCATTTTACTCATTAATACTTTACACTCTGAAGGATTAGGGAATGACTAGGCACTTGCTAGGCACTGACTAGGGTAAATCATCCCTCTACCACTACTGAACAAAGACAGAAATCTAATTTAGTTTTTTAGAAAATGACATGGCCTGCTTCAAACAGAAAACTTGGACTGAGGGGAAAACATCATATTAGGGGGCGATTTCATTCGTCCGTTGCCGGCTCTCAGTGATAAGCATGGTGGTGTCATGATTCCCAAGAAGAGCTGCAATTGATAGTATTGAAACTTGACAAAGCAAACTGGGCTTAGTTGATATTAATTTGGAGAATTAAAAGCGTTTGTCGTAGCGAGCAAACCAGCCCATTTTGTTTTGTTGACTAGCAGTTTTATCCTGTTATCTTCAAAACTATGAAACCTCGATCTTGAATATAAGCAACAACAGCTTTCCTAACCCGTTAAATATCGGGATTTTCGAGAAACGGGCCCCGGGTTCATATCAAAAAGGTCTCACATTTCCCTCACCGCAGTACGAGGCAGCATAAAAGAGAGGAAAAGTCGTTACGTCACGTTGTCATGGTAGCAAAATTTCTAGATGACAACAAACCGAAAACGTCATCTAAAATGTGAATTGCACTGTTTCAAACTCCATCGATCTTATTCAGTTTCATTTAATTTATCAAATGTTGGCGAAATTTTCTTGGGTTGAATGCTAAAGAACTGTATCTAAGAAAAAGAAAAAGAAAATGTTTGTGTTGTGTTCACCTACTCGATATATCGGGCGAGTGAAATTAGAAAGTTTCATGCAGTAGTCGTGCATTGACGGCTAATAATTGAATGTACAAAAAAGCGTGTGTGCACGTGCAAGGTTGTTGTTTTGCTAATAAACCCATTTCGTTTTTGCTGTTCTCGTTGCCGTCTCCATCATTGTTGCTTAAGCCACCTATTGTTGTGATCCAGAAATTTTGCTACCATGATAACTTGGCGTCACACTTCTCCTCTCTGTAGCCCTTAAATTTTTACGTCGTACAACTTTAAACTTTAATCATTCTTTCAGTTGTCAGACATTTTCTCTCCGCTATAGATTCTTTGTAAAAGAAATTCAATAGCTAAGGTATCCACAAGTTAGAATTCCGTGAGCACAAGACATCAACTTTTTACGCTACTAAAACAATCACTGTTAACAGTAGCCAAGTTCTTGTTTGTCGGCTTAAACTGAGCTTCAGCTGTGATTTCTGTTCTTTTTCTGTTTAGGGGTACGCTAGGAACTTTTTCATGGCTGCATATCTCGAATTTTAGACAAGTGGAAGCAAATTTTTGGCCACAAAAACGTAAACGCCTGAAAAATCTTTTCTAAACCTGTTTGGTTAAAGCATCAAGCTTGGCTGCGGTATTTGTCAATCGCTGAAAAAATTATCTTTGGAAGGAAGTTTAAACTCTTGACTACTGAAAAAGCTGACGTATAGGAATCATGGTCCATTAAACAAGAGGAACTCATAATGTTGCCGTTCGGAAAGCAATAAAAAGAAAACGATACTTCATCAAAAGCCTTCTCGCCCTTGTGTCTGAACATGAAAAAATTGCTGGGCATTAAGTACCGATGATCGATTGCTAGTAAAGTAGCTGGTAATGAAAGCCGCATGAAAACGCAAAAAATTATATTTATTGATCAGGTCCAAGCCCTTTGAATAACTTTAGTGGAGGAAACTAGTGAAAGCTATTGATAACTTAATTGGCTGTGTGAAGTATTGGCCAACTAGTAAGAGCTCCTACACTTTCACTGAAGGGGTGGGCGATATTACTTGGATAAAAACATTCCAGTTGAAACCGACGTTACTCAAGAAGACTAACCTGAAAGAAGGTTTTAGTTTTATTCGCTTTCAGGCAGCGTAGATCACAGTTTTTAGCAGGTGGCAAAGAATGCTCAAGTTTTCAGTTCATGTCACCGTACTATGATGGTATACTCTGTTAACTAAAGAGTGATACCAAATGTGCAGTCTTGTGCATTGAAAGGACTTAGGTATAAACCTCAGGGTCCAAGAGTCTATTTTACATCCCAATACCGTTTTAACTTCATATCATCTAAAACTGATTTAAATTTCTTCAATTCGGTGTCAAGCTGCTCCTGGTAAGGCTAAATTGTTCAAATTAGCGAACCCCGACGACAGGACTCAAAACTTTTGCCAATATAGATGAAATCTTTTTTTTTTTTTTTCAAACAAAGATATGTAAGCTCCACTAATTGACCTTCATGTATCAAATGCAAATTCCAATGGAACATCATTTAGACGTATATGATAAGTTGTTAGCGTTGGGGAGCTTAATAAGGCGTTTACGAGCGACGCACGCCAAGCGAAAGGAAACCTTTTCCCTTTTATTATGCCTTGACGCTACGAAATCTGTATTTCTGAGTGTCGTTACTCTTATGCAGACGATTTGTCTGAAAATTTTGCCAAAAGCACCACCGCAAAGAAAGCAATTACGTCCTCCTCCCGTTGATGTACGCGCTCAAAATCCTCTTTGCCTATTAAAAAAAAGATAATAAGGTTTTAGGAGAGGACAAACATAGAGGACCAAGGAGCTTCTAGGGAATGTCTGGGTGAGATGTCGTAGATTGCCCAGCATTAGGCACCGACACCGTGTGTAGGAAGTTTCAAACACAGGAATTGCAGTCTGTTATTAGTTCGTGCAAGCACACTTAAAATATTATCGGCCCGACTGCCATCAGAGAGAGGATTCAAAAGAAGTTGACTGCATGCATCGATTATCTGTCTTTTAGTTTGCACAGATAAAATGTGGTGACTGTGTGGTCCAAAACTAACCTATTTCTGACCTTTTGATAGCTCAATCAGCAAAAATAAAACCAATTCGAGTCAAACCCTAGCTAGGCCACCGATCAAAATAGCCAAAGGTATTTGCATGATTTAACTTGAATTATTCCACAATCCAACAAAACTTCTTACCTGGGGGAAGATCCCGATAATGCTGATACTATTCCGAAGTTACTACATAGCAATATAATCAGCTGAAGGCAATGTTTTGTGAACGGCATTTGATCTATTAAAGAATATTCACGGCCGTAAAGCCAGAGTTCTTAAATCACTGTGACATCGAATTATAAAAAAAAATAACTTATAATATTATAATTTAAGAAAAAATCCCTAAATCACAAATGCATGTATCTTCCATTTATCATTGACATGCATCAGTTATTACACAAAAAAATGCTAGGGGCGAGGAGAAAATGACTGGAACTTGTACCTCGATCGCTAGATCTCAATAATTAGATCTTTTCGTAGGGACGGCTATCAACAAAACTGGGATAGGCAAGATTAGAACTGAGAAAATAAGAAATTGTCAGACCAGCACCAAGTCCAACACCATGTGGATAGACAACCTCGTTCCCAGGTTTTCTCTCCTGGGAGAGAACCCTGGGAACGAGGTTGGTCAGTCGGTTGGTGATAGATAGGAGGATAAAATGGTTTGAGGAAGCTGGACCGTGTTGTTTAAGGCCGGTTCAAGATAACCCAGGGTTAGTGGAAAATTTTGAATTCAGAAATGAAAGCTCAAAAAGCAAATTTCGTTTAATTTTTGTTTGTTCGCAATTCGATGATTAGATCCTATCAAAGAATATAGAAAATTGTCAGACAAAATGATTTGGAACAAAAGAAAAAGAAACCCGGATTAAAATTTAACCCCGGGTTAACTCTAATTGGCCTTCTAACAACTGGACCCTGAAGAGAAAGGTCACCAAGTAAGTTAGTAAGTAAGTAAGTAAGAGTGAGTAAGTCAGAAAGTTAGTAAGTAAGTAGTGAGTATCGTTTGGAGGATAACAAATATGGCGTTTCCATACTCAGAAACTTGATTTGACAAATTTCACCGGACACCACCTCGGCTAAACATACAATAGGCTTTTCCCACTCACTGCTCCCTCAAAAGTCTACCAGCCCCAAACTTATTTCTCGTAAGCTGTTGCGATATTCAGTTATGTAACACATCAATAACTTCAGTGTCTGCCTCTTCTTTTCAAGTTTTATTGAATTAGCTGAAAAGCGTGTATTCCGGCCTTCCAATTCACTCATTCTCATCTGGACAAGAGTTAATCACTTTGCATACGAAAGGAAGCTTAGGATCTTTAGTCTTTGCCTCCCATGAGCCATCGTCTCCACTAATGGAAACAAAATTTTCATCGTCAGTAACGTCGGGCTTCCACTCCCCGAAGTCTAGCTCAGTGCCATCAGTCCAGATCCACGGTCTGTTTTGCACGGTTCTCCTCTTCAAGCCAATCCAGGCCATTGATCCTGATCCCACCATCTGTCTGATTTTTTGATTTTCTTCCTGACTGTGAATGCTAGCTAGATGACCTCCTTTACTTTGACATTCTTTTTCAGCGGTACTCGCCTTCACAAGAGTCTCAACAAACACAAACTTCAAGAATTTAGCTGCAAACGGATAAGGGACAGAAAGGAAGTGCAGTGAACTTTTCTATTTGTAAAGGTGTTTAAATTATTAATAAAATTGACACCATGCAGCATGTATTGCGATACAGCTTTTAATGCAAGTCATGTCTCTACCCCGATGTTGGCCGCTTAATTGAGGTTTGAATGTAATATAACAAAACGAACTCCTGCAATAGATTGGAGTAAGACTGTACGGGACAACGGTCGTTGATTTAATGAATCTGTCATTCCCGTAGATTTTGCGGGGGCGAATGACATCAATGATGCCAACTTGCTACAAGGAGTCGAAAAGGAGAGAGAGCTGAGATGGAGATCGGTCGAACGCACTCCGTTATCTTTGATCATTGCTTATTTTCAAAAACATTTGGTAGGTACAAACCGCTTTCCATTTTCGCATAATAGCAGAAACGTAGCTGCACTGCCTGCCGAGAAGTACTTCCAGCTGGTTTGATGGTGCCGTTAATAACTGATTCCTTAGCGAATGGGTCATCTAACGCTCCGGTTTTGATCGACCATTCTCCTTTACGTGCACCACAAACCTTTTGGCATGGGAATCCTTGAACTTTCATCAATATAAACGGGTTGTCTATGATTTTGAAACAATGCAAAAATAATTGACAAAACAAGACTTGGGTTATTACATGTTAAGTAAAGTTAAGTTTTGTTAAACAGAAATAATGCTCAACAAAGGTGCTCTTGCATATTTTACCAGAGAAATTGCGATGAAACGGTTTTAAATTTAAACAGGAATGAAACTGAGTGAATTAAACTGTACTGCTGCGTCGATGAGGAATTAAACAAAACTGAATATCTTGTACTCACTATCTGTCTTCTCGTTGGCTAATTTTAGAAATCAGCATAGACTTCAGGGCCGAGTTGTTCTAAGCTAGGTTAAGATAACCCGGGGTTAGTGCGAGATTTGAATTCAGATTTGAAAGCTTAGAAATCATTTCAGTTTTTATTCTTTTTGTCTAGAAGTTGATTATTGGAAGCTCTAAAAATGGCACAGAAAATTATCCGAGAAAACGCTTTTGAACATAAGAAAAAGAAACCCGACGTAAATTTAACCCCGGGTTAAGCGCTAATCGGCCTTCGAACAACTGGGCCCAGGACTAATCTGAAGGTTGCGCCCGCAATGCATGGTTTCCAAGGGCAATGTCAGTTGTACATTTTTCTCCTTCCCCTGGTGTTGCGCGCGTCGCGGTGTGTTTGTCGTTATTTTGTTCAAAACAGTGTATAATAGCGGAACCTCCGCTCGCGAAGCGTGCGGCGGATCCCCAATGCTAAGGAGATACGGGAACCTATCGATGCAAGAAAATTTGGTCTTGACGTTACCGTACGTTGTTTCAGGGTAGATCTAAGTAGATACGAATTCCTCCGCTAGAGAGTTTTGTTCCTACCGTTCCAAAAGGCTTAAGAAATTGTTGGCCAATCAGAATCTGTCTACTGAGCATATGTTTGGTAGTTTTTAGGGGATAGGGGATGAAACGGATTTGACTCCTTAGTGGAGGACATACATTTTCAACAAAATGGCTGGCGTGCGCTTACCAAAGAGTTTTCAAAGTTTTGCATTCAATGGTTGAAAATACACCGACGAAAGACAAAAATGGAAAGAGACAGTTCAAAAAAATACTCAGTTTCCTTTTTGTGGACAAACGAAAGCTTTTCGGTACGAAATTGTCATTCTAGGAATTCCACCTTGTTTTCTTTACGGCTGAGTGCTTGGCTTATTTTGGACTAACCAAGGCACCGACGTTGTTGAAGAAATTTCAGGTTGGTAATGAAGTTTATGCGTTTGTTTACACTTTCTATTCTCGCTGAAAAAAGTAAACTTTAGCTTTCTAAATACGAAAGAGTTCTCCTTTCTTCTAATAACAGACTCGTCGGTTTTTCGAGCTCGAGTTTGTCTTTTTTTTTAAAGTTTAAGTACAGTTGACTCCCAATAACTCGAACCTCCCGCTAACTCGAAGTAATTTTTGTTTCCCCTCAGATCATTTCCATATCATTTTACTCTCGATAACTCGAAACATGTTTTGAGGGCTTAAAAGGTCGGGAAAAAAGAACAGAGTACTGTCGTCCGAAAAGTTGATTTTGAATTTCCCATTAACGTGTTGTAGGCATATAGTTTACTAGTGAAGGCTGATGTTGTTTGTCCCAAATCTAACGTGAAACAGCTTTACTACTCAAAACGGTAAAACGAATGCTCTATTTAAGCTATGTTGTTTACGTTACATTCTGATTTATAATCTAGAAGTATCTTTCATTTTTCGCTTAACATTTGTACAATTAAATATGATAAAAATGTTCACTGTACAGTAAAAACTGGTTTTTCCCTTACTTCCGGCTATTGCTTTGAGCTCCCGAAAACTCGAACTCCCGATAACTCGAACTTTTAACGATTTCCCTTGAAGGTTCGAGTTATCGAGAGTCGACTGTGTAGTAGTTGTAACGTTTATTATTATACATTGTAGTCACCATCTGTCTTCTCATTGGCTAAAGCCTGCGGTTAATTCTGGGAAACAGCGCAACCTACAGATTATTCACTAATCTGTACCTACAGATTAGTGAATAATCTGTAGGTTGCGCGCGCAATGCATTATTTCCAAGAGCAATATCAAGTGCACGGACAGCAATGTCAAGTTCGCGGACAGCGAAGTAAGAATGGCTTCTATAATAAAAAAATAAGAATGGCTTGTATAATAAAACAATTATTAGATTCGGTTTTTGTGATATCCGGAATAATCAAGGTCTCGGTTAGTGTTATCAGCCTTAGCCTTCGGCTTCGGCTGATAACACTTACCTCCACCTTGATTATTTCGGATATCACAAAAACCTCATTCAATAATTGTTTATAATTTGTAGTGTATGCACTGCATAACACCTGAGCACGTACTGTGCAGTTTGTGTAGGTTAAAGAATTATACTTATTAGTATCGAAACGGTAAAAACTTCCCATTAGATATCGTAACCTACAAATTGCTGCTACTGGAAAGACCTATAACTTCGCAAAGGGATGTGGTGGGGGACAGCCTCGTTCCCAGTCGTTCTCGGCGATTTTGGATGTGACGTCACCTATCAAGCTTGTCGGGTAACTCGGATAGCGCGAACTGGCCTGGGTACGAGGCTGGGTGGGGGGTGGTTCGATAATGTATACGTAGTTTGGAAGAATTCTATCTGTTACAGACTTGATGCATAGTGATTTTTATTCTGTAAATATAAGTCTTTTAGCTGGCTGGGAGAGTTTTTTCATTTCAGGTGTGTTTGAGGGATATTCTTTCTTAATCATTTAACCCCTCCCTCTAGAGGTAAACTGATGCTGAAGGCTCCTAAAATAAAGAAGGAATTTGGAGATTTCTCTTTTTCTGGCTCAGAGTTCATGTTATTAGTTCAAATTTGATTGCTTTTATCATAAGTATATAAACCGAGGCTTCGCTTTAAGCCCTGGCTAAATCTATATGTTATAGGATTTACGGGATTTGGTTTTTGTGATATCCCGCCCTTTTCTGGCCATGCTGTAAATGGTAGATAGCGAGTTTGTTAGCCAATCGAAATGGAATTTTTGAATTGTGTTGGGTTGTAGAAGATTGTTCGGTAATTTGAACAACCTTCTCTTACAAAATGTGATGAGTTCTCTTTCCGTTTTCGTTTACAAAAAATTATTCCTTTTAAAAAGGTGAAACTTCTAACAAATTTCGCTCAAAACCGAAATGGAAAGTAAATCACCCTGCTAAGAGCCAATCATATTGCAAGGATCACCAGTGATTTCAAAATACAATGAAATAGATGTAATAATGACCAGTCCGCCTGCAATTATCAACTCGATCTTTTCATTTTCTCTTGCTCTTGTGTTACAGTATTTTTCATCCCCACCAGGCCCACTTTGATACCAGTGTTTTATCCACGATATTAAACCTCCTTTACACCAGATCTAAACGAAGTAAAAGTAACCTTACCGAGAGGTAAATGGATTCCGTTGTCGACAAAGCCATCCTGCCTGCAACAGAATTCTATTTTAAAGTGTTTTTTACTTTCGAATGAGCCATCAGGGTATGTTCCTTTTTTCAGCGGAGGTCTCAGAGAGTCTTCAAATGCTCCGTAATCCAATTCATCAATCCACATCACAGAAGCAGCTTCGAAATCTGATGATTAAAAAACAAAAGCGAAATATTAGGGGAGGCGGTGTGGTTTGACACACAATCGGGCGATCTCATTTTTCAGCGTACTGTAAGACAAAGTGTACCCTGGGTGCTAAAAAGTGACCCGCGCTTCGCCGCTCGTGTCTTCAGCCTTCGGCCGAACACGTGTCGGCCTGCGGCCGACGAAACGAAGTTCCCCGTCGCACGCGAGAAAAAACCTCTGGTACCCAGGGTGGACAATGTGATATCTGGGTACGATGTAAGAAGGTAGCATACCGAAACGTGCAAGAACAAAGAACCGAAAGGCACTGTAAACTATAATTAAGCTTAAAAAAGCAAGGTTTTCATGACCCCAAGTCAAAGGAATTATATCGGCTCATCAACAATAATACAAAAGATCTAACTTACTTCTTGGACATTTTGGTTCTCTAGTGTTCCTACTCTTTCGTAAGATACAGTATCTTCCTTTAGGCCAGTCTTGACTGAAGTATTGGCTGCCAGGGTCTTGTGTCTTTGTGCAGAATTCGTACTTCACACCGCCAAAATTTTCCCAATCTCCAGTCTTTCCAATCTGTTTAATGTTAATCTTAAACGACGCCATTAAGGTTGGTAATGATGTAAATATAATATGATTTTGGTCTGTTATACTACCAGGCCGCCACTGGAATCCAGTTCCCTGAGGGCACACCTTTGTTAAGGAGGTGTGATCGGTAGCAGCAAACAGCGAGTAATATCCAGATGGCCAGGAAAGCTGAAGTTCCATGGGATTATCTGCAGAGAAAATAGACTGATTAACAATTACCTTTGAATTGACTGTGTGAAGTCCTCAAAATTGGTTCCTAGGGCAGGTAAAAAATATATATAACCCCCAATGACACTAAATTGCTTGGTTGTTTCTTTTAATGCTCTAGTAAATTCAAAAGGACCTTCGAGCTGTCATATTCCACGGAACGATTCGCAACTACTATTTAGTTATTAGTATCTTAGCCTGTTCCAGGCTCTCAGATAGTGGGGAAGACGCGACAAAAAAAGGGACGGGAAAAGGTAGCGGGGCGGGCCCCTTCTCTCCCCACTTTCCTCCCTTTTTATTTTTGTGTTTGTGCTTTCTCAATTCAGCGGACCCGACTATCTCGGAGCCTGGAACAGGCTATTAGTAGCGGGAGCATTTTGCTCGACTTGTTTGTGCATGTGTGACATACCATCCGTCAATTTTCCGTGCGCAACGCCCTCCAAGAACCCCATTTGCTGCCTGCTAAAAAAAACACAACATGGCCGCCGGGGATAACGAAGAGTTTCTGTTGCCAGTATACCGTTGGACGAGAGAAATGCTAAATCTTTCCGCATCACATCGCGCGTAAGCTCGGCATCTACGCAAATTACTGCACTGTCTTTATCATTGCCGGTACTTGTAAGTCGCTCAACTATTAATAAGTAATGCTTTAAGAGTCTTGAACAGCATCGCTTTTTAGGGGTGGCCAATGGTAAAATCCGAGACCCGCCGAGACGCCGAGATCCTAGTTAGAAATCCGAGCCCGAGACTCTTTGGTGAAAAGTTTCGAGACTCAAAAAAAGTAAAAACAAACCATGAAAAAACGAGACTTCGAGACTTATCAAAAACGCTTCCGAGATTTCGAGATCATGCCAAAATTTTCCGAGACCCACGTTTTTTGAGGTTCCATTCGCCACCCCTCTTTTTAGGCTAGAGGGTAACGATGTATAGTTAACTTCGAATGTTGACTAGTCAGCGCTTAAGCCACGCGCAAGCAATTGATATAAGTGTTTACAATAATACACTAACTATTACATCAAGTTTTTTTAAGTAAAGAGTTTTAAAGGTAACTAATTCCACAAGAATAAAAACTACTTTTAAATTCAAATAAATTGAAGCCATGCAAATTCCAGACCCTGATCTTACTTGATTCAACAAAATCTAGACTCTGTTGATGAAAAAAAAACTGGTATTTGTAAACTGAATACCCTCTGACTGATAAGCCTAGTACAGCACTAAAGATGTTTGCTATATTCATAACATCAAGGTGTATATGGATAGTATAAACACCTTTAGCTCGCTTAACGTGCATTTCTTTCGGGTATTGCTTGATCGCTTGTCTCATGTTCCTTAAAAACTTTCCAAGTTTTGTAAGCGTCATCTTTTTGCATGATCTCTTTTTCTTCAGCTCTTCTAAATTGCTCCAAAACGTCGGCGTCAGCGTCTCTTCGATTCCCATTAAGGTCACCTGAATCGGTTCAGGAAGACTGTCTCCACCGATATTATAAGTAAGTTGTTCTTCTCCAAAATCTTTTTTACTCTCCTCTGATTCCTCAAATTTATTGACGTCAACGCTGGCCGATGCCTTAAGACCTGCATAACCTCCGGACACGGAAAAACTGTTGGTAGCCTGAAATTTTTTATAGACCATAAAAAACATTTCAACTTGGATTGTATGGCAATCTAATAATACGATCGAGGCAGGAAAAGAGCACAACAAAAGGATAGGTTGCGGGTTGCCAAACAGATAGATTGACACAGAAAGATTGACAAACATAGATTAATAAACGGTTATTATAGCTTAACAAAAGGATAGCCGATTGTGAAACACACCTTGGAAGGAAATCTAAAAAATGCACCCTACAACGTTTTTTTAAGCATGGAGCACTGGGTAACTGAACGGTTTATCCATGCACATTCGGCAAAAGTGATAACTGTCAACTGGTGTGAAAATTGTGTACGGACAAATCACTTTTAAGGGTCAAGCTAACATGCCATGTGAAAGAAGATCATATAAAAACTTGTTTAACTTTTCTGCTTAAACAAAAACTTAAGCTTGGCAATTGTTTCTATGCACGAGAAACGTAGAAGGAATGTAATAGACCCTTTCTCAAGGGGCATTCGGTCCTTTTCGCCCGCGGACAGTTCACCTGGACTTAAGTCGATTCGCCCAAAATGAATTTGTCGTTCTTTAGGCCTGAAAAAAGAAATAAGCGTAAAGACAGTGACTGCACGTCGAGCTGGAGAGTGTTGAAAGTCATCGGGCGAGACAAATAAGTCCGGGCGACACGTCGTCTGGCAAATCGACTTTTGAGAGAAACGGTTTTTAGCGAATTCTTGCAAGGCAGTTATGATCTATTAGTTGTGAACACTTTGTATGTTCTCAGAGTTTACTCGTACAATCAAACCTCGTTAATACGGACCAAGAGGGGGCCATAGAAAGTGCCCATATTAAGAGGGACCAATTTAGAGAAAATGTAAAGGCTTTTTTCCCCAGGGACAATGTAAACTGTCCTTATTAAGCGGGTGCCCCTAAAACAGGATTTGACTGTATTAGTTAAACCTAGTTTTACTAGCCGTTCATAGACTGTTTACAACTTAGTAGAAAAACTGTAACACTTGCTTAGCGTGAGTGATTGCTCTAGTTTTTTTTTCCATAAAGGAAAAAACAAAGAAAGATGAAATCGAATGATTAAAAAATTCTACCCTATCCACAATCCAGCAATAGGGGAATAAGCTTATAAGGTGCGTTGTGCACTAATGTGCAAACTTACATTTTCTGAAGCGTAAGATATGAACTCTTGAAGTGAACTTCTGAATCTCGTGATTTTCTTCGTCCCCAGTACGACTTTAACTACAACATGCTAGGTAAGACAGATAAACAAGATAGGAGAGCCGTCGTCAAATCTTTTCCCAGACAATTTTATATATTCGACCACCGCGAAATGATACCTCCAACGCAGAGGTTTTTTGTTTAGTGAACAATAGACCCTGGAGTAGTATAGGGCGCGTCGAATTGACCACTTTTGAGGAGGGATCTCATAACTTTGCGGTAACAAAAAAAATTGACGGCGATGATATCATAGCGTTTTGTTTTTGTCTCATGAATTTTTTAAATCATGGGCTAAGAAAACATGGGTTTCAACTCAATAAAGGTTAAATCGGTTTTTAATAAAGTTGAATTATTCACATTAAAGTAGTCTTTTGTCCTTTCTGGTCAATTCTGGCCGTATATTTATTGTAGAAAGCCTACAAACCCGCTTTGTTTTGATTCAGAAGTCGATCTGCGTTCATTTAAACTTGGTAACCGAGCGTTTTCTTCGAATCCTGGTGCGCGGGCGATAAACGCGTGGAGTATTCTACTAAAAACCCCTGGGTCACTTTTTACTAGTAAGAATGCTCCACGCGCTTAGCGTCCGCGCCCCAGGATTCGAAAAGAATGTTCGGTTACCAAGTTTTAATGAATGCTGATCTACCTCTGAATCAAAACAAAGCGTATTTCCAGGCTTTTACAACAAAATATGGCCAGAATTGACCAGAAACGACAAAAGACTACTTCAATGTAAGTAATTCAACTTTATTAAAAAAAGATTTAACCTTTATTTAGTCAAAACTCGTGTTCCCTGAAGGCCATGCTTGCATGTTTTGTTTTCCTAACGCAGGTTATGTTATAATACTCTAAAGAACTGTTCCTTTCATATTTCGTCTTATTCCCGTGCATATGTACTCGTAATTTATGAAAAGACAAAGGTTCCACGGGTCATTAGGAAAACAAAACATACCAGGTAAAGAGGTCTATCACCATGCTTTCAACTTACTGTTCCCCAATAATTCAAGAAATCGAAGTATGTCTTTTTGTCTTTACGGTTCCTGAATTTTACTGTTAATCCACAAACATCAGCAGCAAACTCTTCGGTCAGTGTCCACTGGTAGTTTTCTACTAATTTGAGTCGGTATCTTGCTTCACCTTTATTGCAAATTTCTGTGCAGTCACGATAGACCGTTTCTCCACTTTGAGTGCTTTTTTTCATCTGCTCATACTCTGCAAGGAAAATCAGTTAGAAACAACTTTCAGTACGGCTGTCGCCTTTCAAAGCTCTTAAAAGAAACTTTGGTGATAAAATGTGTATTGAGCCATCGAGATTGTAAACAGTTGGTCCATTAGATAGAAAACTACTTTCACTTGCTGTTTGATATCGTTACTTTACTTTCATTTTATGTTTTTGGCCAATAAAACCGATTTTAACTATTATTACTTAGAGTACGATAAAGTTTCAACAAAAGGAACTCACTTGAACTTAAGCTGAAGGAAAAGTCAAACAATCCGGAGTATCCAGCTGTTTTAAAAATGACAAATAAAAAGCTAAAATTAATAATAACACACACAAAAAAGAATTAACAAAAGAGAGCATTCACGATACCCGCCATCTTTGCCTTCGTTTTTGTTGAGGAAAAGCAACGTTAAATGGTTTCTTAGGGGTGAAAAACTGATGTTATCATACACTTTACTTCTCATTGGCTAAGACAAGAAACTCTGCTAGGAACCTACAGTTAATTTTGCAAATCAGCGCAACCTACAGATTAGTTAGTTATCTACTAGCAGATAACTGACTAATCAGTTCTGTAGGCTGCGTCTCAATTCATGATTTTCAAGAGCAATGTCAAACTGTGTTCCCTGCGACGGTATGTTTGTCGTAATTTTCTTCAAAAGGCAATGTACAATGAAGAACTTTAAATCTTGAGGACAACATTGGCAAATTATAGGTGAAAGTGATTATTTTGACCTTCTTGCAATAACGACCGTAAACACCATCAAAGCAAGCAATATATAAGTCATATAATAAGCCACTTCCGAGTTCCAAAAACCCTCACTTTCAAAATGAGACCAAGTGCACATTCTTTCTTGTGGAAATGAGTTTTATTTGCATGAGAATGAAAAATCATTTCCACATCAAAGGCTGGGCACTTAACCTCGTTTTGATACAGAGGCCCGGGGGAACTCGGAAATGGCCTATTGATGGAATAAACAAATCCGACAGCGATTACTCGTTTTAGGACTCTCCCCCCCCCCCCCCCCCCCCCCCCAAACCAAAACCACAACTCATCATCCCCCACCCCCCAACCACACCCCCCCACCCCCCCACCAACAAACCAAAAACAACTGTTGTTGGTTCTGGGTTTTTTTTTTTTTTTTCTTCCCTCCCCCACCTCCTTCCTTCTATTCCCCACCACCCCCCCTTTCCATCCTGTACCAAAGACGGGCCCATTACCCCTTTTTTAAACACAAGGCCCGGGGGACACGGAAAAGTGCTCTTTAGAGAAAAAAAAAATCCCCCACAGCATTTCCCTTTTTTGGCCTCCCCCCCCCCCCCCCCTACCGAAAAACCATGTAATATAGCTTCCATCTCATCAACCCTAAGCGTGACCCTAACTGCACTCAGAAGAAAACGACAAGTGCTTTGTTGCTGTTGCGGGTTTTTTTTTTAGAATACTATCCCCCCTTTCCTTGGTTTTTCAGAGGCATTTTTTTCAAGTATCATTGTGAAGCAAAAGCATTATTAATAAGCAATATTCGAGCATTTTAGTGCGCTTTATTTTTCGCTTTCTGTCAGTTAAAACCATTAAATTGTATGTATACGTTGACTACTTATACGTTAAAATTGATTAAAAAGCCTTTGTATATTGAGCATTATCGGAAGATTTTTAAGTCTTAGTGGAAAAAATGGATCATTAAGGTGGATAATTTCAGTGGGGAACAAAATGTACAAAAGCCTACAGCATTTATAAAAGCCAACAACATACCTTCAGCGCTAACATCAACGCTTAGTTTCTCCTGATAACGTTTGGTTCCACCAAAGATCTTTGACGATTTGGTCGTTGCACAAGACTGTCTTTCTTCGTAGCAGATCTGGATTGGGACTGCATCTCCCTCTTCTGTGGTCAGCTTTAAGATTTTCTTGGTTTTATCAAATCCCGGATCAACACCCCCAAGAGCATTGTTACCCTCAGGGTTCCCCCTCAGTAGATCGTACTTCACACCAATAAACCCCAGCCCCGCAGGGTTCTTGTTTCTTTGACAAAATTCGCCAGCAGGATCTGGGACTGGGTCAAGCTGTTTCTCTTGCCCTGTAACTTTAAAATTTCCTTCATGAGGAAGTGCATAACCGCTTGAGTTCCATAGAAATATAATCACAAAAACCAACAGACTTGGTCCCAGGAATGATAAAGAGGACATAGTTATCGCTCCTAGATGAAAAAAAAAACGTCAAAATTATTTGTCAGTATATGTATTGCACATTGTGCATGAAATAATTTGTTTTGTGGTATCTTTCGTTAATGATAAATGCCAATCTCAAGACCAATCTCGTCATAACTTAGAATGTTCTCAGGCCTGTATTTTGAAGAATTCTTAATCGATCAATGGTTGAGCTGCATACGATAGACAATTAAACAAGAAAAATGCGCTTTATTTGAGTGTCAAGGTATTTACGTCTCGAACTGGAGACGGGACCGCCATTTTACGTGGTAATCCGAGCCACGCGAAGGTCTCGCCGCTTGCAGTACAAAGGTAGGTACCTTCATTTCTCAGATATTTTAAGACCCTGAGTACTGGTCCGGCCCCGGAAATCGAACCCACGACCAGGGCGGATAAAGGTTGGGCGGTGAAACGAGCGCGTCCGAGCAAAAAGGTGTGATGCAGTGGACTGGGACTCTGCTTAGAAATGTCGCTTGTTTTCGACTTCGGTCAGGGCTTGCGATGTGGTTTGTACATTGGACACTGCCGCTGTCACTGAATTATGGCAGCTTGATTTGTTTTCTTGCACATCTTCCTCGTTCCTTTGTGCTGGTACGCTGTCTCCGAGAGGCAAATGTTGCTATTTTTTGCGGGAGGTTTAGTTGTGCAGACAAGCATCTCTTTCAAAGGGTTTCTTTTATTACTTCCATGACTCTACCACTGAATTATATCTTTACTCGCCAATGTCGATGTTATTCCAAAACAAAAACAACTAAGTACTGTCTAAAACACGAAGGAAAATCTCATCCATGTCATCCATGGCAAAACTAAAAGACAGCAGATCGTGTTTTATAACTAGAAGACGTGTACTTTATAAATGCGTGCAGCTCGTGCAAGGTGAAATTATGCTAATTTCAATCACCATCATTCTTCTTTTTAATTTTGAAAAAAAGATCTCATACGTCTTTCTGTTTCTTCGAAACTTCAAAATTAGTTTCCCCTCAGTTTTTACTGTTTACCTTGTTTTGTTTTAGAGAGAAAAACGGAGAAAAAACCTTACAACTAACTTCAATAAATTTTGTTTACATGCGGTTGCCGGATTTGCAACGCATTGCGCGAATCGCCATGGCGCGTTGCACCCGAGGAGCAAAGTTTGAAGAAGTACAACGCCACTATATCAATATATATCAATCTAATTTTTTGTTATGTTATATAAAATTTATCCCCCTTTAACATATGTAAAAATTGAGTTTAAGAAGTGTTAAGCTTTTGCAAACGAAACGGCGAAAGACGATTAGCTGACATTTAGCGGAAGGGGGAGGCATTCAACACTTTCAAATTAAACTCAAATTTTGGCATTATACGATCACCAATTTTGACTTATAGACTTACAGACACAAACATATGAAACTGTTTATTGATATTGTTATGAGACGAATTTATCTATTTAACATTGTAGCCTGAAATTACAGAAAAAAAAAATAGGATCCCCTGTTTGCAAAAAGGAAAATTTCGCCGGCCTTCAAGCGCACCGGAAGCGCGAAAAGAGCGCTCGTGCCAGTCCTACTCCGCATCACACATTAAATGAAGAGCGGAGCGCTCGTTTCACCGCCCAACCTTTATCCGCCCTGCCCACCACCTACCGCTCTGAGCTAGTCCTGCCACGACAAGACAATGGAAACGAAAGAGGGTGCCTCTCGAACAAAATCTTTAAATATTATTTAGAAATCAGATTAAAAACTTCCCTTTTTTTGGATCCTTGAAGGGAACCTGGAGACGTCGTTTTTGTCGCAGGTTTTTCACTATGATCTGTTTTTCAAAGAGATCGCCGCATATCAAGAACGGTTTTGCGTGGTAATGCAACTGACGAGCTTGAGCAATCACGATGACGACGAAGGAAACGATCCAAATAAAACAAAGCAAAAGTTTAATGAGGAAAACAAAAACTTTGAACAAACAAACGTTTTGAACATCATCATAAACTGATTTCTAACGGATCTTTGTTTTAGCAAAAGTGATCGTTGCGACTTCGATTTCGCCGGAAATACCCATATAGAGGCTGTCAATCTTAATTTCTCGTTCTCGAAACATTTTGGATAGTGTGAACACGCTTTAGAACGCTGATCGAATTTGAATGAATATTTTCAGTGATAGTGTAAACCCGTCGTTTAATTGAAACGCCGATCGAACAGATCTGATCGAGAATCTGATTTAAAAAAAACGATTGTAAATTACAGTGTGCTAAGTTGATATTTTTTCTTGCAGAAACGACCTTTTCCAAAAGCAGTTTTCTTCAGTGAAAATTGAATTTCATTTGATGGACTGGATTGCATCAGTTGTATGAACGGATCGTGCGTTCAAAAAGGCAGACAAGCATTCAAAACAATTTGTGTATTCGATCATGACTATTGTACTCAACAAATTATTATTGAGAATATAAACGCTTTCTCACGTGAAGATGTTTTAACATTTTTAGCACGTTCTTGTAGAATTTTAAGTTAATTAACGAATTCCATTATTAAAAATCTAAATCTACAGAGGCCGCTTAGGGTAGCTTAAGTTTTAGACATCTCTTTTTGAAAACTTAAACCCGAATTTCTGTGCGCGCACTTATCGGTTACTGGAAAATCCGAGTGCATAGAGTATAGAGCGAGACGTTTTTATCTTATACATCCCTCAATTTGTTCAATCCACGTATTACTAAATGAGAAGTCGAGATGAAAGAAAGAAAAAACCGATAAAGAATTTCAATAAGCAATATCGACATTTTATCTGCTTAAAGAACAAATATTAGAAAAAGAGTAAAAAATGTTATCGTACCTTCGGACACTTGGAGTGATTTCCTTTAGCTCTCAATCTCAAGTACGGTGAAGCGGATCCTGTGTGGTGAAAGTAAAAGGACCAACAGCAATTCTTTTGTAATGATTCAAGTACGCATAAACTAATAGCGTATGACGTGTTCTTTTTCAAAGTCATAAATAATTTGGGGAGAAATAAAAAGAAAGGCTGGTTTGGATAGCAAGACGTTTTTTTTTTAATTTTTGTTTTGTTTTGTTTTTTCTTTTTTTGATGTTTTTTTTTTTTAATCAATCATTGGAAGTCTGTCTTGTCAGTTTACAAACGCAGCAAAAAGTACGTAATTCCATATCTAGATACCAAAAATTCTTAAAACTCGGCAACTAAAGCTTGTTGTTTTGTTGTTTTATTAACCTGCCTCTCCGGTGGCAGAGCAAACTTGAACTAAACTTACCTACCTTCAAATACATTTTGACAAAGCTTGAACGTTTTAAAAGAGTGACGTGTATTTATGTTCACAGTGCGTGGTTGTTACACAAGAACCTTTTCTTTTAAAACTGTCAATGACGAAAAGCCGGATTTATTGTAACACTGATATCTTAAAGGTTTGACCAAAAGGTGAACATTAATTTTTCAAAACAAACTTGTTCTTTGAAAAAGTTTGTTCTTTTTTCTTTTTATGTACGCTTTTCCACGGGCGGCCTAGACAAAGTTACGATTTTTGTTATAAATCAAAACTCGCAAAAAGTTTCGTTTTAGATACGAGCTGTGCGTAGAATCTAATATTTTCTGATATTGTATACTCTACCTGAGCTAATTTAGGTTTCTAATTTTGTTTAGGTAGACAAAATCTACACGAGGGTCTCAATGGAGTGGTGTAACTTTGACGGTTGACGGTTATTACTGAGGAAATTTAGCCCAAGAGTTTAAGTAAATATTTACTCCCGTATAAATTAACAATAAATGTGTGTTTTGGACGTGCTTGGCCTGTCACTTATAAAATTTCGAACTATTTTCAGATAAAACTTAAAATGTCTAGAGAGAGTGTTTTTGAGAACATGGGAAATGGTTCCTCCCACTGGGCAGTTTGTTGTCGATTCTTCAAAAGTCCGTGAAGATCAGCTAAAGTAGCGAGCTTTGAAATACCTTGAACTGTTTGACGGTTAATATTAATCTGCAATTTTGTACAGTTAACGGAATTAAAAAATCACCTTTTCAGCTGACCGTTGACGGAAAAATTTTAGGCTGTTTGACGGCCGACAGTTAACCTCATTGAGACCCGGAAACAGTTTCATTGAAAATCAAAAATTGAGAACTGTTTTAACCCTAAAAATGGGGCCGTTTCGGTGACTAAAATGCAGTCCTATTTTTGAGTGTAATTTGACTCCCTTAATCAGGACCAGTATAGTGGTGCTGGACTCCAATGCGCAATGGCAATATAATAGGTAGCCCTGTTTGTCACACAATCAACATGAGCGCTAGACCTTATCTCTGTATATCACTTTGGTTCCTGCTCGGAGTCTGCAAAGAATCTAGAGGAACCTGGGGACGAGAATTGCAAGATGGCTACTTTTGGTGAGTCACGTGCCTCAATGTTATGCGCAGTACGTGTCTAATCTGACGTCGCTCAAAGCATTTGGTAGAAGTTTGTCAGAGTTCCTTCCTTATTTTTACCTTTTTTGACCTTAAAACATACAAGAGACGTTATAGAAGGTGACACAAAAGGCCTTGTACATGGTGGACACTACAATTTTTATGGCAGCGGAGAGAAACGGCCACAGCGGGCAGATATTTGAGGCCCTCAGAAATCGATTTCCCGAGATTCCGGAACAAGTCATCTCTCGAACGCTACAAACCGAGGTACTGTTGTCTTTTGTTATTTCAGTTTCGTCATTTCTCTGGAGAATTTGTCGGTACTGTCAGCTGTTCTTTGTTTCTGGTTCAAGGTGATCTAATTCAGCTTATTTTGTTGTGTTCAAACGCCTCGTTGTTATATTCTTTCCGATTTTTTGAACGTGGGTTGTATTGCTGTGGAGGTGTTGTCTCGAAAAATAGCGTGTAAACTAAGTAAGTACATACGAACCGGGAAGTCAGTTGTGTTGGAAACTGTGCTTTTCCTCGTTTTGCAGTAACAAAGTATGCTCATCGACAAATTGATTTAATTGCAAAATATCCTTGGGGACGATACCAGCAATTTTTCAGAC